CGATTAAAATCTTTATAGATTTAATACTTCTAACTTTCAATACAGTGTGTATATCTTCACAAACTTTGGCAGTTTTTTAGTTCATATTATAAGTCTTTCACATATAAAAAAAATCATATTTTTAGTGAATTATTTTTAGTAAAATAATAAAGATTTATTCATTAATATATGGAGTATTTGTTTTGAATAGTTCGTGTGCAAAGTAATTTTCGTGTTAAAATTAAAAATATTTTTCCTCGTCTCACATTTCCTTTGTGTAATCCCCAAAACCTCCTAAATGCATTTCAAGCATTTTTTTTTCAGTAAAACTTTATAGTTTTTATGTTATTTTTTCTACCCTATCTCAAAATGGGATTGGTCAATTCGATAGACCTTGTAACCATAAAAAAAAAACTTGAAATAAACCTAAATTAACATTTTTTTCTTTCTATAATTACTTCAAATTGTTTATCCTAAGTAGCTATAAGTTTGTAACAGTATACATCTATTTATAATTAAATTTTATTGTTTTATTGCACTTTGAACTGTGTCTAACTACTATCCATGTCATTATAAATTGTAAATCACTTTGGGAATGTGCAGTTCATGTTACACTATCGAATTACATGACCCACAAGCTGCTATTATTATTACTTATTTTTACTTAATCTAGTTTTAAATAACTTAAAAATATCTGTATTTTTAGATTTTAGTTACTTTTATAATAATAAATAAAGAATAAATATGAAAAACAAGAAATGAAGTACTTACCCAATCTTCTTTTTTCTTGCTCACAGGTTCACAATGAAAGTTAATCCTAATTTTATATACTATAGATAGTAATGCACTTACTTTTTATTTAATTGAATAATGCACCAAAGAATATAGACTGATAACATGCAAAAAGTAGACAAATTCACTTCTCAAAATTTTCCTGGCTTTCTAACTATGTGACAGGAGTCATTAAAAATTCATCCAAGCTAGTCGTTAAGTTTCTCACGGGAACGAATCTTGTACTGTGAGTGAAATTGACGATACTCTGTTCAGAACACAACGTTATACAATATGCCATTTGATAGATGAAAACCTTGACTTTCTTTTAGTTATAAGTAATATATAATAAAACGTTAGAGAGAACTAGCAACGAATTGTGAAAGAGAGGATGTGACAGGTGGGTGTGGCATGAGGGGTCTGATTTTCTATTTGGTAGATCTGTAACCAAACAAAATTGAAGGCTATAAAAATTGTGGTTTGTTTGAGCAATAACGATTTTATAGAGAGCATTTTATGTTTAATTTCATACTTTGTCAGGGTGGGTGGGTGTATAAAATAGGGATGATAACCTGCTAAGACAAAATGTGTCACATGGGTCACACTAGTGTAAATTAAGGATTTTTTAAAATATTGCCTTCTATAATTAAGAACTTAAACCTTGTGTACTATTAAAATATGGATTATTAGCTAAGAATTTATGCTATTCTAATTGGTATAACATAAACAAAAAGTAGTTTAATAAAATTTTGAATGTAATACACTAAAACCTTGTGTCATGTGCAGTAAAGGGTACCCTGGGCGATTGGGCTAATGCAACCTGAAGTTGTTTCTGAAGATTTGTTAAAATATGCTCATAAGTTACTTCTGGTATTTTGTCAATCCAAGTGGATTTTTAAAGTTCTGTAAAATAAAGTTTAAATTATTTTTGGAGTTTTTATAAAGCTCAACAGGCTGTTTTTAATCTGTAGTGCATTGAGCTAGTTCTGGATTTTATGTTTTGATTAATTTCAAGATACATTTATGTAGTATTATGTTGTGTTTGTTGTTTTACAATATGAATTAGACATTTAATAAATTGTGAAGGTTTCACCTTAGTTAATATGATAGTAAGGTTAATATTAAAACATTAAGTCTTGATCCAAGAGTCCGCAAAAAACTATGTACTTCTAGTACCTCCTCCAGGTCCTGGAATGCCTCCTAATATGCCTCCACCTACAAGTCATCCCCCAGCTCCACATGTGAACCCAGCCTTCTTCCCTCCACATAGCCAACCCCAGGGAATGCCAACAGGACCACCACCACCTTCCCAGCCTGGAGATATGTATGGCCGACCACCACCCAGCCAGTACCCAGAATTTAGAGGACCTCCACTTGAAAGGTATTTTCAAAATTGGCATCTGTTGACTTGTATGTTTTGTCATTATTTCTTGGTTTTGTGGGAATGAATACCTTTTAAACAAAGACAGTAATATCAATGTTTTAAAAGTTGTATAGCAGTTATACAAGATGTTTTTGCCTGTTAACCCTTCCATTATGGGCTGAGTGGAATCCACCCAGCTCGTAACCAGGAAAGTATCTATGAGAGTAATTGTACTATAAGTTTTGAAAGTGTATGCAAGTCTTTACAAAATTTTGCAGATTATTAGTAAACATTACAAGGATTTCATACACAAAATATCTGGTTTTTGAATTATGTTTTAAGATTTTTTTTATTAAAGATTTGCTCGTGAATTTTTCTTTCAGAATGTTGACTATCCGATGTACAAAGTAATTTTGATTTTAAGATTAGAAATAGTTTTCTTTATCTGAAATTTGTTAAATTTCATTTGCGTAGATAACCATCAAATGTTTTTTAAATAAAACTCTATATTTAACCTGTTATTTTGTCAGTATTAACTCTATGGTGTTGACCGATTTGACCAACCTCGTAACCATCATAAAAATTAGGAAATAAATCTAAATTACCTTTTTTGTTCTAAAATAACTGCAAATTGTAATAGGAAACCACAAATGTTTATTCTGAATAGCTGAAATTTCTTAATAGTATCAATCTATTTATATTTATTAATTTTTATTTTATTGGTCTTTGAACTGTGTCAGAATTTAAAAAATATATTATATATGTATATGGGTTCTGTTTTTTTTTCCACTTGTCAAAATAAATAGATTTTACTTAAATTTCTTAATAGTATAAATATATACTATGTAGTTGTTGAGCTTAGGATTCTTCTACAGTAGGTGTCTGGCTTGTTAGCGATAAATTCAACGATGAATAAAGAGCACATACTTTACTTGTTTTCAAATAATATATATATTCAGAACAAGTTAAATGTATGTACAATAAAGTATTCACACTATAGAGAATATAAGCATATCGTAAAAGTTATATCAGTATATGTATAGTTCTCTTCTTCTCGTCAAAAGTACACTTAGGCCTGTTCAATTACTTTAGAATCTCATTTGACAAGCCGAACTATTTTCTAATACTATCACAATATTAGTCTGGTGTGATTTAATTACAATTGTGGTCTTCTTTCTTCTGAAGATCCTATGTTCCTTTTGTCAAAGTGCACTCAGGCTGATTCAATTACTTTAGAATTTTGTTTTGACAGAATAAACATATTTTTTCTTATTTTCTTTTCCACTGTTAGTTTCACTCTAATATACATGTATATATATCTGTATCAATTGTTAGGCCTATGTCAGTCATTAGGCCTATCACTTTTATGTTACATAACTTCACACCAACTATATTCTCTTTTGATATTATCTGTCTATTGTTGTCCGTCTACTGCTTCCCGCTTGTCTCACTCTATTTATATTTTTATTACATAGTTGTCTGGCCAGTTTCTATATTATTGACACCAATTAGTTATTAACAAAACCTTCTACAATCATCTGCTTTTAACTGTTATTATGGCCCAGCATGTCCAGGTGGTTAGGACACTTGACACCCAATCTGAGGGGCACGGGTTCGAATCCCTGTCCCACCATACATGCTGTGGGGGAATCATAATGTGATGGTCAATCCCACTATTTATTGGTAACAGATTAGCCCAAGAGTTGACAGTGGGTGGTGATGACTAGCTGCCTTCCCCCTAGTCTTACACTACTAAATTAGGGATGGCAGGGCACAGATAGCCCTCGTGTAGCTTTGCGCAAATTTGAAAAAAAACAAACTTATTATAACAAAACTTAAAAATAATAAGATATTCACTCACAAATATAAATTAATCACTTTAAGCCAAACAGTCTTTTATATCATGACAAACTGTGTCTAACTAAAAATACCCTGACAGGAGTTGAAAATTGCACTGCACACATGCATTGACATGACTATTGAACAGTGTAATGCAGAAGCTTCTGGCACATAAACCCCATGAAGGTTTTTTATTATTTTTCTTTTATCTTACCTAACAACTTTCTGTTTTTAGTTAACTTTATAATAATAAACAGTTAAAATAATTGAAAAATATATAACCTTGTAATTAAATATCAAACATTTTTATTTTCAGTAAAACTTTATATTTTATTTTTTGTACTGTAATATTATACTTGTTTTCCCCAGGTTGTAGGTGAGTAATCAAAGTATATCAAAAATAAAGGTTGCAAAATAAAATGTATAGTATTGTTAGTAGTGATTACAAAATTTCAAAGTACTTATGGTCAGAGTTTACGCTCTTACCTTTTCACACTTATTTTCCGTAGGTATTTTATTGCTAGTTAATGAGTTAGAAATAAGAAGAAACAAAATGAATAGTACTCTGTTCTTTTCAGTATGGACAGTAAAGTTCCAAGTACATTTCCTGCAATGACAATTGTCTAAAGTGTTATAAAATGTTTGACTTTGTAGAAAGTTTGGGCCGATCCAATAAGTCAAAAAGTGGAAGTAGCCTACAGAAACTATTTGGATCGTTGCTCTCAGAACACAGTAGGATAGAATTTGCTGGCTTCTTTGTAATACAGTGGTTGCAGCAAGAAATGTCTAAAGTACTTTATGAAAGTGATAAAAAATATTTATGATTTGGCTTTGTACAATATATAACTTGCTTGTTATCTTACTTGGTGGTTGGGATTTAGCGTTGGTATAGGTGTAAATTTGTATAAATGATTATAGACATCATGTTTCCTATGCTTACACGGTAACCAATAAATGTGTAGTTTCCAGTAATATAAATAAGGGTCATTTTGATTGTGCTAGTATTCTTGGCTTAGTCTTCTTGATTGTAACTTGAGAAAAAAATTATTCACCAGCAAACTGCAAGTTCAACCGGGAGTTCATGTAAAGATGTTCCTTTTCATGTTTTAATATCAGTTGATCAGTGTAAAGATGTTCCTTTTCATGTTTTAATATCAGTTGATCAGTGTAAAGATGTCCCTTTTCATGTGTTAATATCAGTTGATCAGTGATAAATTTAATTCTTAGACTTTCACAAATTACATAAATAAACTTTTCCTGAATTGCCAAGTCTTTAGTTTTTTGTAATTGGTTTTTATTCTACCTCAATGTAAACAAGTAGAAAAATAATACAAGTACCTACTTATTTTTTTCAAACATAAAGCAGTAAATAAAAAATGTGTGAAAAACAATGATATCTACTATTTATGATGTGGAGATGGAAAAAAATGTTTGTAGACTTTATATAAGCATTTTGGAATACAAAAAAATTTTATAAATTGCTATACCAATACCCCAAAAATCCACTGTAATTTATCAGGCTTCCTAACTAAATTGTATTTGGATCTAAAAAATAGAATTTCTATTCACAAAATAGACTTGATAGCAATACGTTCAAATTTCCAATGATATATGAGCATTTCTCTCATAAGTAACTTAGAGAGACTGACAGAATTATGTAGAATAAATATATAGCTTTTGATTGATTATAAAGTTATTGGTATATAAAATTAGGCATAGATAAGTCTTCTGAAATGATGAAGTGGTGGGCGGAGCCAATATGGTGGGTTTGCTAAATATCATGATATCTCAGCAAATAGAAAAGGTAGGAGGTTCTTATTTTATATTCTAGCTTGCCAATATCAAACATTTTAATTTCTAACTCGTACGAAACTATAGACTTTGTATTGTGGATGTCATAAAATGTAATCTGACCTAACTCAGAAGGCCACATGCCATGTGACACACAAAAATCGATATATAGCCTCTTTTTTCTTAAATATTTATTTTCAAATTAAGAAACTAACTAATATATAATAGTAAAATTTGAATTATAATCTACAATTTGATACCAAACTTATTGACACACGTTCATAAAATAATAGCTAAATAAAATGAAATTAAATCTACAAATGTGATAACATGCTCTCTGACCCCTACCATCTCGATAGGGTTAAAAAGAATATGTAAAAGGCAATTTATTGAATTTTAAATAAATATATTTGTTATAATATTAATCTAAAAAGTTGTCTGTAAAAATTACAAGTCATCTTTGGCTGTTAACATCAAAAGCAGTGTTATTTAACACTGCATAAAGGTGGAGTCAGTTTGATTGACCTTGTAGCCACCATGAAACCATACATATTATAACTCTGAACATCTGTAATGTATTTTTCAAGATAAAATGACAGGCTTTTAGTAAATATAACAAAGCTACTTTACACAAGAAATCAGATTTTTTGATAAAGTATTTTTTACTAAATATATGTATGAATTTACAAAGGTTTTACTGAGTCAGTCTCAGTGAAAGGTATTTTCATACTAAAAAAAAACTCTTTCATCATACAGATTTCATATTGTATTTGAATAACCTCTGAAACCTTCTAGATGAATACCAAATGTTTTTTGGTAAAACTACATTTTATCTTCTTTTTTCTCTGCTCTAACACTTAACTATAACAAACACATCCATAGCAAAAGTTTAAAAAATATGAAATAAAATCAAAAATGCATTTTCCCCCAAGAATGACTGCAGATTGTAACATAATTGCAGTTCTTTGTCCTAAACAGCCTCGGGCTCTTAACCCTTTCACTTTGACCACACACTTTAAAATATTTTCGAGTTACATTTAATATTTAATTAAACAACTTTACCATCAATGTATTATAACAAAATCAACCTTATCATTCACATTATAATTGAAAGTTTCAAGTTATATAAATTTGAATTCGATTATTTCAAAAGATATTTTATATAAAAATATACTTAAATTTCAGCTTTTTTGTGCTTGACACACAAGTTTTCACAGATTTTAATGTTTTATCTGTATTACTTGAATAATAATTCATTAACAATGTATGTATATGTCTGGACTGAATCTACTGGTACAGTGATGTTTATGTGTTCTTAGTTCAAATTTCATTGCCAAGTCAGAAATCAGAGAAAAATTTTCTCACCTCCCTTGACAGTATCCACAGCCACTTTTTTTTATTTGATTAACATGTTTGTAACCAATAGAAAGAACTCATTTTCAACTACAATCTTCCAATATTTATTTTAAAATGAGGGAACAATGTTCATTACTAAGTACTCAAACAGATGAAGCATTGTTTGCTAATTTCATACTTGCTATCGCTTTGTTTTCTCTCCCTTATATACTTATTAGTAAGATAGATAAATTGTATTTAAGTTTTATTTTTTATATTTTAGTTACTTACATATTATTTATGCTTTAAAATTCATATTTGAAAGGTTTCATAATTTCTAATCTAACCAAAACTTTACTCTGGGCCACGAGGGTTAAGTTACGTGAATGAAAAAAAAAACATTTTTGCTAAAGGCTTGCATATCTTTGCCAAAAATACTTAATAAGGGCCCCTGTTGACACGTGTTGAGATAAAGTAATAAACTGCAAAGGACAAGAAAGGAAAATTATACATTAAAAATATACTTTAAGTGAAAAGGTAAAGAACTGAAATTTTGAATATAACCAAAAGAAGATATTTTAAGATTATTTGATGGAGATTTAATAGGTATGTACATATTTCTGTTTCTTAGTTTTAAACACTTCATTGAACTGTACGTTGATGATAATAGATACAGTTAGTGATATGATAGAGAAAATGAAAATATAAACATTTACCTTAAAAAAATTTTGATATTCATTTAGGAAGTTCTAGTGGTTATGCAAATGCAATTTAAAAACTCAAAGTAAAGTATTTTTATACTTATCATGAAAATCACCTTGCACTTGAACTACCCAGAATGCGAGTGCAAGTAACTATGATAAATAACAAGTTTTGTAAAAATAGTATAAAAATTTTTTTTTTTCTTTTAATTACATGTCTTTAAGAAAGTTCTTAAGTTTTAAACAATTTCATTTTTGGAATAAAACCCGAGAGAGTTATGTAACCTACTTACATTGTAGGTGAAAGAGTTGATTAACAGTTTCATATCTACTTTCATTTACTTTTAGTGTTTTCTTGCTCTTTGAACCATAAATATACTATAAATAGATAATAGCAGATAATATAAAAATGTAAAATATAAACTAAATTTTGATGCTAAGTTGATTAACATACATTGATGATACTTTAATAAGTATAAAATATTTTAGGAACTAAGAATGGGAACATCAAAAAGTGAGGAAATAAAGTAGGAAGTGGTTGGATAACATTACAACACTTGATGGTTTTTGACATGGTACAACCTCAAAATGGGTGTGGCCATTGTTCCGCTCATTTCTACTTCATGTGCTTTTTGTAACATGGTAATTGTTCAAACTAAATGAAAGGTATATACAACTAAATTTCTCTGTTGTAAACTTTGTTTCAGCAACCACGTACAGATACGTGTATGTAATCAAATTATGTGACCATAACTAAATGCTTGACATCCTAATGTGGTGTTTCATGTTGGAAGTGAGATGGGAAGCACCAGTAGTCATACTTTGCTTATGGGAGACATTATAGCTATCTGACTGATAAGGGATGGGTCAAAAGAATAGTATCAAAACTTGTTAAATATTTTGAAAGGATTAGCTACTGATAAAACTCATTTCAAGTCTAAACTTGGATCAAAATTCCTAGTAAAACACAAAGTAGGAATGGGAGGAATGGTGGCCACACTCACTTTGAGGTTATACCATGTCAAAAACCACCAAGTGTTGTAATGTTATCCCGACAATTCCTACCTTGTTTTCTTACTTTTTGGTGCTTCTATTCCTGCTTCCTAATTTTTTTTTTCATTTAGAAATTTTTTACACTTGTCTTCCCCCCCCCCTTTTTTTCGGGGGGGGGGGTAATAAGTTGCGATAGTAACTTGACTATAGGCCTATTTTTCTCATAGCTTTTTCTTACAGCTATCTCTTGACATTTCCTGGCTCTTGCTGATATCCTTGCTACAGTCTTTCTTCTACCTAGCCTGGGTGGCAGCATTAATGGCTAAGGCTTGTTTCGCATATTCAGCATTACAGTTTCTAACTTTATCTCTGTTCTTACAGTAATGCTCTGTAAAGACTTTTCAAGGTTAACAACATAGGATTTTAGTTAAAACTTAGACCTAGAGAATCTATGTGGTTCACATTTTTTTATCTAGCTGATACAGCTGCAGGCTGATCACGTGGTGCATGCACATAAGGAGTTGTTCACCTGCACGTGATATGAGAGTGAGTTGTTACTTCGCTTGTTAGTAGTGTTGCAAAATGGTTATTGTTATTACCAAGGTTATAAATAAAGAAAAACTCTTTTAGTCAAGGTACTGTAATTCAATCATGTGCATTTAGATTTCCATAAAGTGAAGGTAGGAGTGAGCTACGCCTTTCCAATAGTGTTAATCAGTTGGTCATATTGACAAATAAGTGGTTTGTTACTCTGCAGTTGGTTTATCTGCTACTCAACAGTGTGCATAATGTGCTTGTATAGTTTTGTTTAAGTGTTTTTGGAATTTTAATTTGTATTGCACATCTGCCCCATTCTTACTTAAAAAAAAGGTTGTGACTTGTACTATGACCCTCATATGCATAAGATTAATTTGAATGAGATTCTATCTTTTGATGTCAGTTATGATATAATAATTGCTTTCCCATTGCTTTAGACAAGATCACCAGAGTGCACCAATCAGTGATGCAGAATTCGAAGAAATTATGAATAGGAATCGCACTGTTTCAAGTAGTGCTATAGCTAGAGCAGTGGCAGATGCAAGTGCAGGTAGGAACCAGGAAATCTTTTTCCTTCTAGATGACTGTAGATACCTGTTATGCGATAACAGTTTTATATTGAAGATGTAGTTTTGTATTTATCAAAATTCAGTTTTAGTCCATTTTCATAAATTTTCAATCCAGTTATGATACAAATAATGAATTATAATAAAATTGTAGAAATTATACAACAAATAATTAAGCCAAACCTTTATAATAAAGCTTCAAGAATTTTATTTACAATATTAAATCATATTTTCCTTATGGGGTAATTTTTCAAGGCAAGATGTGAGTATTTAATCCAAAATCAAGAAGTACTATGTTTGTATGTAATGTACCAAAACTTTCTGTCCTCAGACTTAAAATGTTATTGTAATGTTAGCATGTTTTATATTAGTATCTTGTCTGAATATAAGTATGGTCAACATAAGTATCTTAAACTTAAAAATAGAGTTTTACTTCTAAAATGTCTTGAATCATGAATTCAGTCTTTATTTTCAATTTAATTTTAACATTTTTTTTAAATTAGTAAATTTTTAATTGGTAAAATTAATAATACACTCTCACTCTCTTTCATTATTATTATAATAAAGGGGACTATGCCAGTGCTATTGAGACCTTGGTTACAGCAATTTCATTGATCAAGCAGTCAAAAGTAGCAAATGATGATCGCTGTAAGATTCTTACAAGTTCTCTACAGGACACATTGCATGGAGTGGAATCCAAGTCATATGGATCACGGTAAATTGATGATTTAGTCAGCTCTGCTTAGCGCTGTGATGTGTAAAAATGAAAATATCTGTATGTATTTGGCTTAATTATAATGTATATATGTTTGTGTATGTGCCAGTTCATTCATTGTGTTACTGTTTAAGTGTTAATTACAAAATCTTAAGTTACAGTGCTCTGTTGCTTATACTGCGGGTCTTCCTTCCTCCCCCTACATTCTACATTGGGCTTTCACAACAAAGAACGTTCCTCTGTGTATCTTTCTCGTCTTTAGTTGTGTTAATGTTGTGGTTATCTGATTACTGTGCAAGGTTTTAAAATATTGAATTGCCATGTATCATTATATTAGACATTTTATGGGTAATGATGAATTTAAATAAGAGAAAGTTGTACACCATTAAGGAAAACTAACAATTATTGCAAGAGTAAAAAATGTGGTTTTAAAAGTGTAAGTTAAAAGGGAGTTGATTTTCCCAGATGGTCTTGCATGAAACTTTATTTCAAAGGATAACATATGAAATTGCTGGAGAAAATGTTTTTTTTGTGAACATAAGGTGAGGTGAATCAAGAGGAGAATGATAAAGAGGTGGAAAATAGGCCTACTGCAATGGCATCAGATTGTGATCTTCCGGCAGTAAGGAATATCCTTGGGGAGCCAGAACTTATGGAAAACATGATTGAACAATGGGTTAATATTGAGAATGAAAAATCAGTGTTCTATGACTTGACTGATGAAAACATTGTTAAAAGCAGGTTGCGTATGCATCCTTGAAAGTTCTTGAATTTCAAGGACTTGAAAAGGGGCTTTTTGCAAAAGTACTTGAAAATATTATAATAGCACAGTATATCGACATATCTAACTTTAATGCATATTGCAAGTTGAGCACAATAAATAGTCTTTCTTTTCTTCTTAGTCTACATTCATATATTGAACAAGTAAATAGGATTTTTATAAAACTTCAGTGGAATCTGATTGATTTTGATGTAGATTTTAGTTTCCAAAAAGTGCTTGAAAAAAACATTCTGAGAGTACTTAGAAAGCACTTTACATTGATCTGAGCAATTCAGTATGAACCATGTAAAAGTGCCATGCCATCAAGGAGAAGGGAACTGAAGGAAGTGACCAAGAGTTGGAGGTGCTTGCCAATCTGTTTACTGCTCAGGAAGCTCTAAACAGCTTAGAAACTGCAATGATGTGGCTAGAGGCACAACATGATGTTGAACCAGTTAACATCTTTTATTAAAAAAATGATCTTGCAGAAAAAATGCTCTGATAAAAGAACTGACTTTTTACAGAAATGATTCAACTAAGTAAATTCCATGTGCTGACTATATTGATGTAGTACATTTTTTGTATTTTGTTGTTTATAGCAATTAAAGAAAATTAAAAAAAGTCGTATGTGCATACTGTATTGGGTAATATGATCATTTTATTACCAAGGAGCACTATATATAGTAAATTGTTTTTAACTCAAGAAGTTATATTTAAACAATATTTTCTTTGTTTACTTTCTAACCATAAAACAAAATTCAAAAGTTTAATTTTCCAGCAAAGGACAACTTTTTAATTTTATAAAGAAATTTAGTTAACAGACTTTTGTTTTCACACAGAAGCAAGGATCGTCCAAGATCAAGAGAGAGAGATCGATCTCGTGAGAGGTCATCTCGCAGAGAAAAGTCCAGTCGTCGTGATCGCTCCAGAAGCAGAGAGAAGGATTACAGAGACAGAAGCCGTGACCGAGAACGATACTATGAAGATCGGCACAGCAGAGATAAAGACAGAGATAGAGATCGTGAACGTGAACATAGGAGTAGCAGGCATTAGAGGTAATTGGTTCAGAAAGATTAAAATATAAGGTTGGTGTAACAAGATATGGTTTTATGCAAAAGCTTAAGGTGGAAGCATTCTGTATCTATCTTTTTAACATATTCATGGTTTTTATTACCATTTCAGAACAGTGGAAAGAGCAAGAGAGAGAGAGAGAGTAAACAAGTATACAAAAACTTAGGAAGAAAATGCTGTATAAAGCATTGGATGTGAAATATTTAAACTTTTTTTTTTGTATGAAAGATAACAGTACTTTTTATGCATATGTAACACGTACTTAATGTGTGGCTTATTATCATAATTTCCATGTGCATAATATTGAGTTTAGTTCTATTTTTATGTCCATATTGGACTTTATTAAGCTCTCCTTGTTTAACTGCATGAAAAGAATAAATACAAATAATCATATCTGAATTTTTTTTTTATTTTGATATAACTTTCTGATATGGGGATAGATGGTGATCATATAAAGATAATTTTTTTTCTTTTTACTGGTTATAATATCACAAAATCTGTTAGTAGACGTGGGAAGCAGGTAATAATATGCATACTTTTTGTGTCACTATTTGCTTAAGTTATTGGCTTTCAAGTAGGAAACCATTAACTTAGTCTCTCTTCAGTTTGTAATTTCTAAATGTTTAGATATGAGAAAACATTTTGACTTTCCTTTTAGAACTCCTGATGCTTTCTTATCCTGCACAGGGAAAGCTAATTCCCTGTCCTTTTTCAATGACTTCCAGTCTTCAATAAATACAAACTGATCATTTTCTTTTCCAGCCCTTGCCTTCTAGCTATGGTGGAAGTACCACTAGAGAGACTTTCAGTCACTGACAGAGAAGAAGTTTATCTTTCACACATCATGATGATCTGTAGCTTCTTCAAGTTTAAAGAAGGGACATGTTGAAATTAAATTTCTTAAACATTGTAATCTCAATGAATTTCAAAAGTCATTGGTACTGTGTTGATAATGGTAAAACCAGTGACTAAAATAATAATGAACTATATATTTTGACTGGATAAGTTGGAATTCTTTTAATGTTTCATAATTATTATTAAAATGACACAACTCAGAACACAGCCTTCGAAGCTGGATTTCTGTACTGTAAACAATTTTGGGGTTTATAAAGTACGTTTCTGCTAATATATTTATTAGAATTATACCAGTGGAATGGCTTTGAATTGCTAAATATTTGTATATTTAAGTATGTTAAATTGAAACAGTTTTAGAAACTTGTTTTGAGAACTAGATAAGTCTGCTTCATTAACTTAATAACACATATGTGTTCACGGTTTGACCAGAGCTTTCTCCTTAACAACACATTTTTAGATTGGAATCGATAAATATTTAGTTACAAATGTTTGGCTGTATTTAAGTCCCAGTACACTGGAAACATAATAAAGGTAGTAATGTAATTGTAAAGTTGTTTGTAAGTATATAGTTAATTTAAGAAAGGTTGATAGTGTCTTTAATAAGCGTTGCAAAACATGTTTCTCTTTGTTCATGCAATAATGTTTTTGTACTTTATGTGTATGAATGTTGTATTTGTTCTCTTTAAATGAACACAAAGATTGAATATGCAGTTAATTGACAGCTATTTTTAATTTATATTTCATATTGTGTGATACATTACTAAATGCTTATTTCAACTGCTACTTTTAATGACATTAGACTGTGATATATTTAAATTTGCATGTATTTGTTTTCATATCTAATTGAAAGATAAACTGTGGACAACTTCTTTAATTTTTATTATATTTCATGACTTCTTAAATATAGACTTTTATAAAGTTAAAATTCAAATGTAATTTCCAGATAGTTCAACATTTGTTGTTTCATCAGAAAAGCTTTAGAATTACATCTTACTGTGATGTTTTATATTTATAACATATGTACATATTTGTCTGAAAGCTACATATCATAGAAGTGTGTGTGTGTGTATAGTTCTAGATGAGGGAATGACTCATCTTTACTGTGGTGTTTGTTATTATAGTTTATCAAGTTAAATTCAAAGATGTTTTCCATTTTTGATGTTATAATGCCTATTCCAACTTGAATTAACTACTAATTGTGATACTTCACTATCATACATTTTGTTTTATATCAAACTGAAAAATATTTTTCATAGGTTAATTGCTTTTGTACATTCATTTATACATAGAAGAATGGCTGGGATAAATTTGCTCAATTTTATTATTGTGTTTGTATTCTAGTTCTAATGCTTTTTTTTTAATGCTGTAGAGGTCTTTCTTGAGATGACACAGTTTAAGTCATTATATTGGTAGGAAAAACTAAATTTTGTTTTGAAAATATTGACTTTTAATAAAAAGAAACTTGTAATACCAGATTGCTTATAAAGCTAAAATATGCCTCTAAAGTCAGAGATTAGTGAATAAAATATAAACAAACAAGATACAAGTCTCAGTCAAAGGTAAAAGAATGCTATAAAAAACAACAGAAAAAAGCATGCAACCAACAAGTGTTGTTTTGTATCTTGTAATATGAATTAGAAGCTTTTTTTACATAATAAATCGCAAATGCTAATTACAGGTATAAGATGACAGTAGCTTTTTAACTCACTCTATATGGGCTAAGTCACTTAACTATCTTAAAACCACCAGGTAACCATGAGTCTCCATACTATGACTTTTAATTTATTAAACTTATCTTCACAAAATTTGGCAAGCTTTTAGTAAACTTTGTCTTTTATACATAAAAATTAGATTTGTTAATTAAGTATTTTTGCTAAAGATTTGTAAGTAAATATATGAAGTCAGAGTGTGACTTGGACTCTGACTAGTGTGATTACTAGGTGATTTTCATATTAAGATTAAAATGACTTTCATTTTACGGTTTTTATATTTCGTTTGCATAACCTCTAAAACTTCCTAAATGAATATAATATGCTTTTTTTTCACTAAAACTATATATTATCTGTTATTTTATCTACCCTAACAATATATGGACTTGGTTGACTTGACCAATTTTGTAATCGCAACAAAAATAAATCTAAATTACCTTTTTTTTCTTTCTAGAACAGCTGTAGCTTAGAACAGAAAATTAATTATTTATTTGAAACAGCTTAAGTTCATAAAAGTTTGCATTTGTTTCTATGTAATTATATTGTTTTATTGCTCTTTCAACTGCATCTAACTAATAATTTCGTGATACAAGCTGGAAATCATATGCTGAGTGCATAGCTCAAGTTACTCTATTTAATGAAGTAATGTATAAGCAATTCTCGAACTAGTCGTAAGCAAACCTCAAGAAGACATTTTCATTATTTCTTTTTTCTTTTCTTTTTTTTTACCAAACCTAAGTTTCTAATCTTTACATTTTCATTACTTTTATAACAATGAATAAAAAATATATATATAAAAAATGGATTTAGTAATTACATTTGGTCTCTTGTTTTTGTCTGTCAATAAAAATGAAGCCTACTTTTTTGTAACAATATTATGATTACATCAAATTATTTTTATATTTTTAGATACGTGCTTAAGAACAAAATAATAAATGTATAAGACAAACAATGTCCTGTAACTATTGTAATTGAACTGGCTTTCTAACTAAACCTTAAATGCTTTAAAATAATTATCTTAATTTCTCAATCTAAAGTGCTAAATTTTCAATTTGTAGGCCAAATAACTGAAAATGTCTACTGAGAATAAGGTAGTATTACACATCATTCAGTAAATAACACTGTTTTTCAGTTGGTTATAAGTGATGTAATACCAAACTTCAGAGTATTATTGGAAATTTGTGAAAGGATATGATGGGAGGGTGTAGCAAGTGAGTATGACTTTGTGGTTTATATCCTTGTAAATAAAGAAGATCAAAGGCTATAAGATTAGGTTGCGCCTTAGTAATATATATACTATAATGTGTAATTTATGTTAAACTCAGGAAATCATAGAGGGGTGATGAAAAAATAGAAAATGGGCATGTTGGATCAAACAAATGTCATTACAAAGACGAGGGGAAATTGAAGATATGTTGATGTATTTCTTTTTGCAAAGAAAACATTAAAACTTTTATTAAAAATTGACTTATTAACTATGTTTTGATGGCAAGTTTAATTAAATTTTCAATGTAACCATAAAAGTCATGAAATGCACACCTTGGCTTACTTGTACTGAGAGTGTTACTGTAATCAGTTTTAATTTATTATAGAACAACTGGGAAGTTTTAGCTATCAGATTTTATTCAGGCTTTTGGAGTAGATTTGGTAACGTGTGAATTGTTTGTTTTTATTACAAAAGGAAGAATTGGACTTCTTAAAGTTCAACATTTATTTAAGCTTTTAAATTACATGTAGAAAAATTGATTTGCCTCAGTTAAAATTATCACTTTTATTCCCTTGTGAACTGTTTGATATTAGATTATTTTATAAACATTGTGGTTGGGGTTTCTTAATGCCGGTAAAAATAATATAAAAGCATTATTTTTTTATAAATGGAAAAAAGAAAGTTTTATACAAGCAGTTTTTTGATACCTTATATATAATTATTTATTGCTGTATTATGGTGTTGAGAAAGACGTAGTGGAAAAATGTATATCTATAAATACACAGATTTGTAAATATGTTTTGATACTTAGTCAATTATTATACTGTTTGAATTTATTTAAATTATTTTCTGATAGAAAATTAGCAAATATATTTTTACACTTTTAAATAATAAATATAGGTGGTACTCTGTAAAGATTTTTATACTTAGTATTTCTTGTTGAGTATGTGAGAAAAGTTTTTTGATATTTTTTAGTGATATAAGAAATTGTAAACATTATTTTTTTCATTTGAAATTATACTCTGTTGTCTATCACAGTTGTTAGCAAAATATCTAGTTTAAGTAAGTTTTGTGAACTCAGTTGTACTTTTTAGGAAAAGTAAGTGAATTAAAAAATTTTTTTTAATTATTTAATGTTTTATATGTGATTAACATCCTCTTAATGTCCAGCTGAAAAGTCATTTCTATTCCTTCATCTTTCTTGTCAGTAAAA